AGTCAGTTAGTAACAACGTACAACTTCGTACGTACATATATCAGTTCGAGTTGCTATACCACATTAACACACAGATCCATTTAGCGATTCAAATCCCGTAGTGATAGATGTAGTGAAAGTGTACGTAGTAATCTGGAACATTAGGGTTTGAAGATGTTATTCAAGGAGTATAATCCAGTGGAATAAATTCGGAAAAAAAGTAAAGGACATGAAGTATTCAGAAAATTAGAGTTTGAGAGAACACAAAGAGTAGATGCACCTGCGCCATTGTAAACGATTTTGAGCCATGTCATTCAAGATCTCTAACCATCGGTTGCTATCGTCTCGCGGACCCCAACCAGGTAGTCTATGCCTACCAACATGGCTCAGTCCACTTGTCAGTGACTTCATGGATTTGTGCCATGTTTTGGTCTGGCCGCCCCTAGTTAGATAGATGATTTCCGTAGTGGCTTGTTAAATTCAAATGAAATTCCATTCATTAGATAATATTATTTCAAAGAATAGAACAAAAGGGCTAAGCAACTACTTCATTCAAATTCGAAGGAAGGGGTGGATGGAAAGACTAAAAGTTATGTAGTCTGACTAAGAACGTTACATTGATGATACATTTGTTAATCTTAGGAGCAACTTGATTAGAAACATATCGAACAACATTAAATTTATAATAAAAAGAAAGAAGAATCAGAAAAGAAAATCACATTCATGTATGTGTTAATAAACAGAATAAACATAGGAAAACTCGAAACATAAAAGAAGTCAAGTGAAATGATTCGAATAATAAATTATAACAGTAACAATATAATAGAACACAAGAAAACTTGTATACAGACACTATTCGAAAGAGCTAACTTTTACTGGAGAACTCTTACCGACAGAAAAGTGATAAAAATAAGCTCGTGTTTTGTTTGTTCTTTATGAAAATAGTTACCCTAGAAACTAGACCAAAAAAAGTGTCAAGCAACTCGATACACTACAGGGAAGATATTCTAAGAAACTAGAAAACGATAATCTTGGTTTGTGTGAAAGACGTCTTACAGATCACTATAAGGATCATAATTAGGATAGGGTTGCATCGGCACTGGAACTAATGATAAAGACTGAAGTAGTTAAGCGTGTCGACCGCTTTGCTTACCTTGGGAGTCTTAGTCAGTCAGTCAGTTACAACGTAGGACAAGGCATATATGTGCATCGGTCCAAGATTCTAGACCTCATTAACACAACAAAATGGACACCGGATTCATAGTAGTTAAGTCAGCGGATACAGAAGGCTTGACTGACTTTGGCCAACTTGTGTCATTTATGGCGTAGACGAGATATTCGTCTACCAAGCAAAGGATGGATTTAGTGCGCAACACGTTGTTCCATCCTACTATATGGCCGTGAAACATGGCCGATAAGAGTTGAGGATATTCGTAGGTTAGTAGAATTTGATCATAAGTGTCTTTGAAACATAGCTTGCATATCGTGGTGCCACCGAGTAAGTAATGCAGTTGTTAGGAAACGGGTACAAGGTAAGGATAGCAAATCAATTGATGGAGTATTGAAACTTGATCAATTGAGATGGCTGGGACATAAGTTACGTAGGCTCCGTCGTGCGATATTTCAAGGTGTAGGAAGAACAAAACATGGCAGAAATCCATGAAGTCACTGATAAGTGAACTGAGCCATGTTGGTAGGTTTACACCTACAACCTGGTGATGTCGTTCAGAAGAATGATGAAAGATCCACGACCAAACCATCCAGCTCAGAGAACAAAACTACATCAAAATCATCCACCTGACCTACAAATCTTCTCCACCAATCCATGATATACAACAGAAGTTATTTTTAAGGGACGTTATTTCACTTAACATAAGCTTATGTCTGATGTATGATTCACTGCCATATCTTTCTCTATACGAGAGCTATTGTAAATTAAATGTAACCTTTTGTACTCGATTTTTCTAAATAATGTTTTTAGTTTGTATACAATTGGACTTTTCCAATTGTTTGTGAGTTTTGGTCATATTAGTCGTCTATTTATACACGAATCCTTTTACATTAACCTGAATAGAGAATCTGGAGTAAATCGAGTAGTGTTCCAGTTAACTCGTGTTCGCTCCCTCTCTCTCTAGCTTGTCAATCAGTCAGTCAGCAACAACGTAGTATAAGGCACATATATGCAGTGGTTCAAGTTGCCATACCTCATTAACACAGCAAGATGAACACTGGGTCCATAAAAGTAGTTAATTCAATTGTAATAATATATAAAAGGAAGATTACATATAACGATATAGTACAGTAGCTTGGCAACTAATTAGGTGATAGAATAGTAAGGCAACTAGTCTCAATTCGGACTCACGCAGTCTTGCCTCAAGGTTAAGTCAGTTAGCCTATCGTGTTAAGGCCTTAATTTAGATTGAGATAAATTATCTTTTGTATACTAGTAAGTAGACAGATCAAGAACATAACACCAGTATTTTAAATCATTCTTTAAGTCATCTAGTTTGTCAACACTGTACATAAATTCATGATGTTCACTGAGGAATTTTCTTCAGCTTTCTACAATTTGTGTATTTATATCTGCTATGAACATGCTACTTTGTAGTGAATTCAAATTTGTTGGATGAAAAAAGCAAATAAACTAAAAGTTGGTGCATACCTAACTGAATTGGTTGGATAATAAAAGGCAAAAAGAAGTACAAAAACATGCTAGAATTTATGCATATATTTTAAAGAAAACTCCTTGAAAATTTAGAAAAACATACTGTGGTGTATGCTACTTATGTTAACAGATATAAGTAGTATGTAACATCAGTCGGAAGTAGAACACCTAGCAGCAGATCGAATAGAAGAGTACAGAAACAGACAGTAATTGTAATAGTAATGAAGGAACGATGAAAATAGAGACGATTGATGGAGGATTTACAAATGAAGTATTTAGTGTATCTTTGGGTGCGGAGAAACAGAGATGGAAAAACCTCATTTCAAACCAATGGTCCAGGATCCTAAGGAAACAAATAGCATATGAACCTGTTATTTCTCACCGGCTCCCATGAGACTGCATCTCCTGACATTGCTTCACTGTGTTGTGAATAAGACCTTTAGGTCGAAGGCTCCAGGTGTGGCTTCCTAAGAAAACCAAGTGGTTCGGTCTGGGCACCCGGGCAGGATCATGACCCACACACAAATCGAGTGATTTCTGTAGCGCATATGTACTCGGTACCCCTTTACACCAATATTTATGTGTTCAAATAAATAAATAACGAAAGAACTCTGTAATTTTGTGTTAAACAATGAACTGATTGTCTCCACCTGAGTGTTCATTCACGACATTTTACTCTTAGCTAATTGTATGTTTTTGTTAAATCTTGTAAAATTCAGTCGATAAAGGTATAATATAGCGACAATCTTTAGGTAATCAATCTCAAATGAAGTAGCGCCTGTAATATTTTATTCAACATTCAAAAAGTAATGTAGGACAGCATGTATGTTATTGAAAACCCAAATAAGGCGTGTCTATAACTATAATTCAATTGGAAATGAATCCGTTATTGATATTTTAATTAAATACTAATCAGTCTTGTTTGGTATATATTGTGGTGTATGCTACTTATGTAGACATAAGTAGTATATGACGTGAGTCGTGAACAGAATGTCTGGCAGCAAAGAGACGAGAGGATCGAAGAGCAGAGAATGAAGACAGAATACAAAGGAAGTCTGAATCATTTGAAACAATTGGTTGACATTTTGCAAAATTGAGCATTTGCTATATGGTTGTTAGATTTTACTAACTAGTTCTGTAATATGTTGTCAAATACATTCGATTGTTCCCCACCCGTGTTCTGTTCACTACAATATGAATTGTATTCGCATTGTTTCGATATAACCAATGAGTGAACATCATCCCTGGGATACAAAATTTATCCAATTGACAAGTCTCGTATAGAACGAAATGCGTGTCCTGAATACCACTGTTAGCTACATTTCATCTATGTTATACTAACATGTGTATGTTAAAAATAACTTTTGTGCAACTATACAGTGAATTAGACATAGTTGATGGATTAAATTACTAGAATTATATGCAAATTGCATTTGAGTGTGTATGATGTGATTCAGAGTAATGGTATCTTAGTAACTGAAAAGTATTTTCTTAAAATTAACACACCTAACTCTAACATTCCTAAAACCAACCCCTAATACTAATTATATTAACCCTTTAGAATAGATTGATCGCCGAGTAGTAATCGAAAGAGTCAGAGAGCATCAGATCCTTTGAATTGCAGGCATACTTTCCTGAAGAGTGTGACGTAAGATTTATTGTCGCCTATAACCAACTACAATCCTCACCACAACTCCTAACTCTGAAACCAGCGATCCTAAATCCTGACCATTCTTCGCATGGTCATCTTGGTGGAACTATTTATCCATCAAGATTTCATTACTTTTAATTATTAGTATTTCTGAAATGAGAAGCCATTTTCTAGTTTATTGATAAACCGAAGCTTCTCAGTCAGTTAGTAAGTCAACAATGTAGAACTTCGTATGTACGTACATCAGCTCGAGTTGCCATATCACATTAGTACACAGATAAAATTGTCAATTCAAATCCCATAGTGGTAGAGATAATAAAAGTATAAGCAGTAATCGGAGAGATTAAGGTTTGAAGATGATATTCAAGGAGTATAATCCAGTGAAATCAATTTGGAAAGAGAAAAAATAGGGGACATGAAGAATTCAGAAGATTAGAATTCGGGAGAACACAAAGAGTGGATGCACCTGCGACACTGCAAACTATTTCGAGCCATGTCATTCAATGTCTTTAACCATCGGTTGCTATCGTCTTGTGGACTCCAACTAGGTAGTAGGTGTAAACCTACCAATATGGCTCAATCCATTTGTCACTAGACCCTAATCGAAGCTTCTGGGATGGAACCATTCATTTTATAAAACTCAAAATCAATTGTTGACATATATATGTATATTAAATAAAACGTAATAACACTCCATCAACTTACCTCTTTGGTTAATTTTAACGGAACCGATTTCACTAAACGTCCTAAATTCAATTCAAATATATTTGTATTGAATGGTTCATTTGATGTAAGAAAGCTGTATAATAACTTACTATTCCGAAGAAATGGTTGAGCAATTAAATACTAAAAAATGAGATATAGATAAAGAAAAAAAAGCAATTACATACTGTACTATGAGAAAAGCTTGATGAATTAATACGGGGTTCGAACTTATATACAAGCACTTTTAAATAAGAATCAACTGTGGGACTGGATAATTTCAGGTAAATGACGTTAATATATTATTAAATAACTAATATACAATAAGACAATCGGCAGAACGGTTGAATATTTTATGTGTGAGATTAAAAAGTGTTTACACAATACTCATAGATAGTCTTCAATCTGCCATCGTGAAGTATGTTCAACAATCCGAACTGTCTTCTCATATAATCTCCAAGTGTTCTGCCTACATCGTGCTTTGAGTGTACTGAAACTATTCTTACCATTTGACAACTGTGACAGATTCGAGTTATGTTCTGCTACATACTATGTACAAGCAATCTTGAGAGTAGCGTCCAGCACACTATTATACAGTATTTAGTTGGGTAGTTATTTATAGAATCCATTTTCAAACAGAAATACTTATAAAGGAGAGGATGATTAGAATTAAAGACAAAAATTCGGTGCAACATTTTTAGAGTGAATATTAGCCCTATACAACACTAAAATAGCCAAGAATAGAAAAAAAAATGTGAGTTTCACCATTTATGGGTAACATCAGATAGAAATGTTTAGAAGGTAATGTTAGCATTCATACTGAAATTCGAAATGACACAGTTTGATATAAACCTGAATAGATTTGCAACTTGATCAATCGAATTCAATTAGCATTAACAACAAGAAAGACATGATATCGATCAATATTCATTGACCAATCATCAAACGTACATATGTATCCTAAATAACTTAAATAGCTCAGAGATAATATCTCAACACTGTATGATCATGGTTGATACAAGTTTGAATCATACACACTTACACAGAGCATCGCTTTATTCGAAACTAAATGAAAGGCTTGTTGACCAGTGTTATTTAAAATAAAACCTAAATTGAGTACAAATACCTCTTGACTATTATTAGTTAGGAGCGGCCAAACCAAAACGTGACATCAGTGCTTGAAGTCATTTGGTTCAGGTCGTAACCAATGGTTGGAGACTCCTGGTGATATGGCTCAGAATCGATCACAGTGGAGAAGATGTATACACTCTTTATCTTTCTTTAGACTATGAAAGTAAAGTAGCTTCATATCTTACTTTCTGTATTAAATCCTTATACGAAATCTTTCTTTTACATATTACCATCACTACTTCTATGAATTCGGTGTTCATCTTGTTGTGCTAATGATATATGGCAACTTGGATCGATGCATTTATGTGCCTGGTCCTATGTTGTAACTAACTGACTGATTGACTATTATTAGTCAGATTTAGATTTCCAAGAGCTCTATTCAACAAAACGAATTAGTAATAAAAACAAAACTATTCAAATTCCATTTAAATTTTTAAGCAAATTATTAGGATGAATTAAGAGATTGGTTAGGCATGGGGGGGTAATATTTAATATTTATTTATTTAAACACATAAATATTGGTACAAGAAGGCACCAAGCAGATATGCGCCACATATATCATTCTATTTCTATGAGGGCTGAGATACTGTCCGGATGTTCAAACCGAACGACGTGGTTTTCTTAGTGGACCACATCTAGAGCCTTTGACCTAAAGTCTAATCCACAACGCAGTGAGGTAACAGGAGATACAGTCCCATGGTAGCCGGTCACCAATGATTGATTCATGTTCCATTTGTTTCCTTAGGATCCTGAATCCTATGTGCATCATTGATTTGGAATGAGGGTTTTCCAACTCCCCTACATTGATCCTCCTTATCCACCAACCCGGTTAAAGCACCGGCCATTTGCTTTTCGTTCTCTCAATTTCGTAAACAACACTCCCGTTGCAAGAATGCAGTGTATAGGACTTCCCTGTCAGTGGTTGTATGCACGTGGTCATGTGAGAACATTTCGATAGGGAGAGCTGACTCTCCCCACCCTCGGCCGTACCAGGGCATTTTGTGTGTGTGTGTGGGGGGAGATAAAATTTAAAATATCCAAGAATAAATAATCTCAGTTACAGAGAACACTTCGAAATCCTCAAAAAAAAATTATTATTATTATCATGTCAATAAACAATAAATATTTATTAAATTGAAAAAAGGACAAGGACAATTTTGTAGTTTAAACAAAGAAGAAATAACCTAATAGAACAATGAGTAGGGAAGGAAAAGGAAAAAGAGAGAGAGAGAGAGGGAGGGAAATGAGTAAACAATCCATAAATAAACATAGATACATTTCAAAAACAAAAAAACGAATTATCCTCTAAGGTCATACACGCCATATATATACATATGCGTGATTTTAAGATTCTATACCATTGCTCTTTTTTTTTTCTTCTTCACATAAGCTCTTCTCCTCTTAATCACCTCATTGAAAATATTTATGAACCTGTCATAATTAATTAGAACATTTACAAGTCAAATAGTAGTCATATATAAATGCTCATAATAAGTAGGCAGCATCATCGATGAACGCGTTGGATCTGATACATATGTGAAGGCACGGATCGGCAAAGCAAGAGAAGCATATTTACAACTGAAGAACATCTGGAACTCAAAACAATTGGCAACCAACATCAAAGTCAGTATCTTCAATACAAATGTTAAGACAGTTCTACTGTATGGAGCGGAAACCTGGAAAACCACGAAAGCCATCATCCAGAAGATACAGGAGTTTATTAACAGTTGTCTACGCAAAATACTTCGGATCAGTTGACCAGACACGATTAGCAACAACCTACTATGGAAGGAACAAATTAGATCCCAGTGGAGGAAGAGATCAGGAAGAAGTGCTGGAAATGGATAGGACACACATTGAGGAAAGCACCGGACTGCGTCACGAGACAAGCCCTCACATAGAATCTTCAAGGTCGAAGGAGGAGAGGAAGACCAAAGAACACATTGCGCAGAGAAATGGAGATAGACATGAGAAAAATGAACAAGAATTGGATGGAACTAGAAAAGAAGGCCCAGGATAGAGTGGGTCGGAGAATGCTGGTTGGAGGCCTATGCTCCATTGGGAGTAACAGGAGTAAGTAAGTAAGTAAATCCGATGATAATGATGAATGAAGTCTTAATTAGAAGCTGTATAAATGACCAACGATGTTGATCTTTCTCGATATATATATACACATGTGTGATTTTAAGATTCTATACCATTGCTCTTTTTTTTTCTTCTTCACATAAGCTCTTCTCCTCTTAATCACCTCATTGAAAATATTTATGAACCTGTCATAATTAATTAGAACATTTACAAGTCAAATAGTAGTCATATATAAATGCTCATAATAAGTAGGCAGCATCATCGATGAACGCGTTGGATCTGATACATATGTGAAGGCACGGATCGGCAAAGCAAGAGAAGCATATTTACAACTGAAGAACACATTGCGCAGAGAAATGGAGATAGACATGAGAAAAATGAACAAGAATTGGATGGAATTAGAAAACAAGGCCCAGGATAGAGTGGGTCGGAGAATGCTGGTTGGAGGCCTATGCTCCATTGGGAGTAACAGGAGTAAGTAAATAAGTAAATCCGATGATAATGATGAATGAAGTCTTAATTAGAAGCGGTATAAATGACCAACGAAGTTGATCTTTCTCGATTATCTCTACAATATTGAATTAAGTTTATTTTATAGTTAATTGTATTTTATATATAATCATGTTAGTTTATGAACTCCGCTTTTAGCTCGATCCCAAGCCCGAATAAACGAGGAGGTTTGAGTATGGGGTCAGAAACCCAATCCCGTAGAAAATAACTTTGCCAAAACTCTGGCCTACGAATTGAAAGGATGGGACATAAATTGCGGAAGTCATCAAATTGCATCAGGGCGAAAGCGTTAACTTGGAATTCGGAAGGGAAACAGAGAAGAGGAAGGTTAAAGAACATACTACGTCGGAGATTTGGAAGTAGATATCACAAAGATGAATAGTAACTGGAAAGGATTGCCCAGAACAGAGTTGAATGAAGAATGCTAGTCGGCGACCTATGCTCCTCCACGAGAGGTAACAAGTGTAAGTCAGTATGTTAGCCTATTAAATGAACAATTTGTTGTAATAGATAGTCATCTTATCTGTTGATGATCAGTTTCATTGAAGGTTTACACTGAAAATTCAATCTTTATTTATTAACGAAAGAGGTGTCATCTGATACGTTAAAACGAAAAAAGGAACTCGAATAAATTATAGATCAGTCGCAAACCACAACACTTCAAAGTTATCAATTTACATTGTTAATATAAGACAAAGAAAAGGATAATTTTGTATTCTGTACAAGAATCAAAAGAATTAGAAAAAGTACAATTCTGATTTCACAGTAACACTCAATAAACTTGAAACATATCTAAAAAAAGTTGGCGAACTAAGTGCGATGACAACTAGTCAGGTCATAAGAAATATTATTGTAGAAATATAAATGAAGAAAATGTCATTAAGGTTATCCATTAAATAGAAATGTAATATGTAATAACAAAACAAACTAGATAACTTAATCTCTCTATAATCCCCCAAAAGCCCTGGTACGGCCGAGAGTGGGGAGAGTCCGCTCACCCTCTCAAAATGCTCTCACATGGCCACGCGTATATAGCCTCTGCAAGGGAAGTCATACTCATTGCATTCTCGCACCACGGGTGTTGTTCACGAAAATGAGAAGACGAAAAGCGAATGTCCGACGCTTTAACCGGATCCCAAATCAATGGTGCACATGGGCTTCAGTATCTCGAAGGAACAAATGGCGTATGAACCAATCGTTGGTCACCGGCTACCATGGGAATGCATCTCCTTACGATGCTCCACTGCCTTGCGGACCAGACCTTCAGGTCGAAGGATCGGGGTGTGACCCCCTAAGAAAATCACGTGGTTTGGTTTGGGCACCCGAGCAGTATTCACAGCCCTCACACATATCAAATGAGATCTATGTGGCGCATATGTATTTGGTGCCTCCTTGTACCAATATCTATGTGTCAAAATAAATAAATAAATAAAAACTATAAGCCATACATTTCCACTAAATCCTTTCAAACCATATTTCAGCTATTAGACCATTCTTTTTATCATTGCTATTACATTATTTCGATAACTTTGTTAAAGTTTCATTATGTCGAACTAATTACATACATGGTAACTTCAGTCAACGTACATCCGTGTTAGTTTTTATTTTAATGATGTGTCTCTGTCAATCTTACTGTATATGATCATAATTGACGAGGTAGTTCGATTTAGCATATTTATCGACGAATTTCTCTATAGGTGTGTACTTCTGTGGACATTTCCTAATAACCATTATCTTATAAGAACGGTTAAGAAAGGTTTGTATAATGTCATCATGCTAACTTAATAGGAGGAAGCTGTTGAAGTCTAGATAAACTTCACTTCATGTTATTTTCAGATAGATATATCTCTATCGCTCCCTATGTGGAGTTAATCAAATCCTAAGATCGAAATCATAGTATTATTTGAGTCTTTACAGATAAGAAATGCATCATCAACATATCTAAAGTAAGATGTCATTTCATCAATTAGGTGTTTTAATTTCGTATGTTAAATGTGAAGACCAAGAGTGAGTGTATCTAGGCCACTGCAACCTATCACATGATATGTCATTTAAAGACCGCAACAATTTTGGATATAACAACCCCAAGAAATTACAATAGTTTCACACCAAGAAAAGTGATCAACATGTTTGTGTATCTAAGTTGTTGCATAAATGTTGATGGTGACGTGAGTGTTAAAATCATAAATGCAAGATGCTGCTTCAGGACTGCACAGGATAATGTACCTGAATTATTGATAGAGAGTGAAACAGTTGCGCGTGTCACTCAATTCACTCATTTTGAAAATCTCGTCAGCTTTGGTGGCTTTATATCTGAAGAAATATCGCATCACTCGTAGCCTATGGGAGATAATCTCCCTCCAATCTAAAGAATGAGTATATTAAGCAGTAGTTTTCTCCATACTACATTACCAGTATGGAACGAATTTTCTTTTAAAATGGAGAATATTCGTAGGTTACTAGTAATCGTTGATAAGTGTCTTCAACACATCACTCGTGAATTTTGAGACTAACGTATAAGCAGTGCTAAAGTTGGGAATACGATACTAAATTATTTATTATTTATTTTAACACATAAGTATTGGTACAAAGACGGACCAAATACATATGCGCCACACAAATCTCAATTGATTTGTGTGAGGGCTGTGATACAACACGGGTGCCCAAACCGAAGCAGGTGGTTTTACTAGGGGGCCACACCCCGAGCCTTTGACCTGAACGTCTGACCCACAAGGCAGTGGAGCATCGTAAGGAGATGCAGTCTCATGGTAGCCGGTGACCAACGATTGGTTCATACGTCATTTGTTCCTTCAGGATACTGGAGCTAACCCATGTGCACCATTGATTTGGGATCCGGTTAAAGCGCCGGACATTCGCTTTTCGTCCTCTCATTTTCGTAAACAACAGTAATGCCACGTGAAGGCAGTGAGTAGGACTTCCCTGGCAGAGGCTATATACGCGTGGCCATGTGAGAGCATTTAGAGAGGGAGAGCGGACTCTCCCCACTCTCGGCCGTACCAGGGCATTTGGGGGCACGACACTAAATAAATATGGCAAGTCGATTGATGAGATGATGAGTCTTCATCAACTAAAGTGATTGAGACATATATTACGTATGCTCAACCATCGACTACCTCAACGTAGAATGTTGTCTAATATAGGAATGGGTTGATAGAAAACTAGGAACAGATAAACTAAAACGTAATACCAGTCCATGAAGTCATTAACAATAAGTCTGAGACATATTAAAAGATGTAGATCACTTGGTTGAGATATGTGTGACTAACGTTAAAGAATCTGGATAACATGACTCAAAGTCATTCACAATTGCATAGATACATTTACTCTTATCTCCCCCCCCCTTCAACCTCTTCAGAATCTAAGTCCTAAATTCTTCTTATATCATTTATTCTTCTTTCAATAGTTAATCTATTTCTCTCTTCTTTACTCTTAAACTACACTATATAAGTATGATAAGTTGAATCAATGTATACATGTATCGAATTCTATGTTCTATATGACTGATAGACTGAAACAAACCAACCAACCAACCAACCAACTAACCAACAAACAAACAAACAAACAACAAAACATTTAACGATTTACCTGTAAATAACTTTGAAATATATCACATTTACTTTCAAGAAATTCCATTGTACGTGGAGTTAATTGACGTTTTGGTAATTGTTTACTTATTAATATACCATGAAATTCAATTAATTTTTGTTCAAGTACATAAAATTCAGAATATTTTCTAAAGAAAAATAAAAAAGATAAAAAATCACATAGAGATTTAAGTGAAAATATCAGTATAGAAGTTGTGAGATTGAGATTATGAACAGATTGATGTTAGACTGTTATTGAAAACCTGGACGGTCTGTTTTGTCTCATTGTAGGACAACTCAACAGTGCTTCGCGAGGTTCGAACCCAGGATCTATTTATCTCGCATGCAAACGCTTAACCTACTGGACCACTGAGACGGCCAGCATCCAACGGTGTCAATGTTTAACTTCAACCAATCCGCGAAATTGCACGACCATCTTCTATTGTACTGAGGTAGATATCTGTCTTTACTAGACACGGATAAGCTCTTTTAGTCACGACTTCTCAATAAAACTCCGAGAATTCGCTTACGAAGCTAGTCACTAGTGAGCACATACTGAGGAGTACCACAATAGAACGAAATAGACGTCCAGTGCTTCCAGGTTTTCAATGACGGTCTAACATCAATCAGTTCATGATGTCAACCAAGAAATTTAAGTGAAAGATATAAAACAAAACAAAACGTTTGAAAGCAACTCTTTGCGTTAGTGATTCAAAGAGATCAGTAATTCAGGATATGTAAACATAGAGAAAGTCAATCAGTAAGTCAGCTACAACGTAGGACCAGGCACATATATGCATCGGTCCAAGTTGCCACATGTTATAACACAACAAGATGAACACCAAATTCATAGGAGTAGTGGTGGTCAGTCAGTCAGCTGCAACGTAGGACCAGGCACGTATATGCATCGGTCTAAGTTGCCATACCGCATTAGCACAACAAGATGAACACCGGATTCATAGAAGTAGTTCATTAAATCAATGGTGGTAATACATAGAAGAAAGAGTGTGTATAAGGAGATAGTACAGGAAGATAGAATTAGTTCCTAGAAAGAAAGATTTGAAGTGATTTTAATCTCTTAGTTTAAAGGAAGACAGAGAGTGTATACACCTACGCCATTGTGATCGATTCTGAGCCATGTCACAAAGAGTCTCCAACCATTGGTTACGATAGTCACGCGGACCCTAACCAGGTAGTCTGCATCTACCAACATGGCTCAGACAAGAAGTTAGTGACTTCAAGCACTGATGCCACGTTTTGGTTTGGCCGCCCTTAACTTTCTTCCAGTCATCCTTAACACCGGTTACCATTGCGCGTCGTGGTAATCGGTGTTCAGGCACACTCAACACGTGGCCCAACCATCTCAGTCGATGAAGGTTCATAACCTCATCAACTGATTTACCATCATTCCCTAATACGCTGCGTCTAACCTCACTATTACTTACCCGGTGATCCCAGCAGATACCAGCAATAATTCTAAGGCATCTGTGGTCAAATACTAGTAACTTACGAATATCTTCTACTCTTAAAGTGGTGGTAATATATACAAGAAAGATTGCATATAAGGAGATAGTACAGGAAGAAAGAATTAGTTGGCGGAAAGAAGATATGAAGTGATTTTAATTTCATAGTTTAAGGGAAGATAGAGAATGTATACATCTACACCACACTGAGATCGATTTTGAGCCATATCACACAGAGTCTCTATATAGAGAAAGAGAAAGCTTTATTTTATCAAGAACTTTGAAAACGTCAGATAAACAAATAAACAGTACATACTTCATCATACTTTATGTATATAAAATAGAACAAAATGTTGATATTTGATCTTAGAATGAATGCAATACTTCTAAACTATGGAAGAGTCAAAATGTTTAAACTGTGTGGTTTAATCACAGAAAACATTTATTATGTAATGAGTAGCATCCCTATTGTGTATATAGAGGAAAACGCGGAATTGTTCTAAACACTAGAACTGCATATTAATTCAATCTATGATACTTAATAGAATTTACCAATTTTAATAAGTAAATATCATTTATCAGTATAGGATTGTTGAGTTTTGATTGAGATTATGAACTGTTCTATGTTAAACCACCATTAAAATCCTAAAAACCTTGAACGACCGTTTCTTCCTAGTGTCGGAGTTATCACCATTGGGCATTCACGATCTTAGGACTTTCAGTCTCATGCGAACGCTTAACCATCAGTTGAGTTGAACTATATCGGCTGTGAAGCAGTTACCAACCAAAGACAATGGTCACAAAATATCGTGGATTGGTTGAAATTATACATTAACACGGTTAGATTTTGACTTAGTGGTTTGGATGCTAAGTTTTTGTACGAAACTGAAGGTTCAAGTTATGTGTGAAGGATCGCAGATGGACACTGCTGAGGAGTTCCATACTCAGATGAAACGACTGTTCAGTGCTTCCACTTTCTTAATGATGATCCGACATTGATCGGTTCATGATCTAAATTATATAATTTTTACATATTCTTCAAATCAAGTCGTCAATTACATGCTACCTGTAAAACATTAAGAGAAAATTTCCAGTTCAAATAGATGTATTTAATGGTGTTGAGTACTATGTGTTAGAATGATTTAACTGTGAGGCATTCATTATTTGTTTTGAATAACATTCTTATTGTTCACTCGATTTAGAAATGAGCTATTTAATTATTTCACAAGTATTATATCACGTTATTTCATTTCCTTATGTTAATTTTTACTCTAGTTGTTAGAAGGGGGTCATTAACCTCATGATTTCCAAAGAATCTCGGGATTCATCATGAGGAGTTGTAATTATTACTAATGAAGATCATTCAACTCACAGGGCAAAGTTCAAATGATTTTTTTCGGTTAACGCTTTTTTTTAGCAAAGATCTTTTTCTACGAGATCAGATTGTTAACTTCATGCCCAACCTAATTCATTTATCCGAGCTTGAAACCGACAGTAACCCTATAAAGGTTCTGGGTGTACTGGGGGTATCACTATCGATAAACAAGGTAGATCTGAAACAAATATGACGGTATGGATTGACAAAGCAAGACCAGTATTCCTACAAGTGAAGAGAATCTGGAACTTAAAACAACAACCAACCAACACCAAGGACAGAATTTTTAACATGAATGTTAAAATAGTTTTGTTATATGAAGCTGGAATTCAGAGAACCAATACAATCATCAACAACAACAACAAAAAACTACAGGTATTCATAAGCAATCATTTACTCAAGATACTCATATTATAGAAGAGAATAAACTATTTTTCAGCTGAAGAGGAAATTAGGAAAAGACGTATATTAGCTATATACATAACTTTATGATTCAATGGTTCACCTTAACATTTCAAGCGTTCCATATGGTATTCCATGAGAAATCTAACGTTATCTCATAAAATCTAACCAGTAAAATGCGACTGTAAATGGTTTTACTTTAATCCAATTTTTCTTATGACTTTAACTACTTTCTCATTGGTAGACGCTACATTTAGATCGCTAGTTTTATTGGTACTTGAACATTACATATTTGTTACAACATAAACTGAGTTGCACTATTTCAAATGGTTCTGCTTTGAATATTAAATTTTTTACTTATACTTGATTTTCTTCTATAGTTAGTGGTTTATTATTATGTGTCAGCTTCTGTTATCCAGTTCCAGATAGAACCGTTAGTATTATCCCTCTAATACATAAGCGTCGTAGACTATTAACTAGTAACTATTATATCTAGAGCTTAGATTCTTAATAAACCGTGTATGACTTGAGTAGTCAAACGCTAGAAACCTCCCAAGTCATAAATGAGAAGATAGAAGAAAGTGCTTGTTGAGTAAGAATCATGCGTCTTTATAGATATTAACGTTTATTAAATCAACATTATAATTCAACTAATCCGCAAAGAGGTATGTTATGCTACTGAACAATAGTAGCATGCCATGTTGATATTCTAGAAAGCTCCATTACCTTCTGATTGGATGAAACTTTTCAGATCCTCTAGAGTCTCGATCATAGTTCATAAAAGCCGTCCCAACAAAAAAACTTTAATTTATTATTTTTATTTTTATTTCAACACATAGATATTGGTACAAGGAAGCACCAAATACATATGCGCCACACAAATCTCATTTAATTTGTGTGAGGGCTGTGATACTGCTCGGGTGCCCAAACCGAAGCAGGTGGTTTTCTTAGAGGGCCACACCCCGAGCCTTCCACCTGAATGTCTGACCCACAAGGCAGTGGAGCATCGTAAGGAGATGCATTCCCATGGTAGCCAGCCGGTGACCAACGATTGGTTCATACGCCATTTGTTCCTTCAGGATACTGGAGCTAACCCATGTGCACCATTGATTTGGGATCCGGTTAAAGCGCCGGACATTCGCTTTTCGTCCTCTCATTTTCGTAAACAACAGTAATGCCACGTGAAGGCAGTGAGTAGGACTTCCCTGGCAGAGGCTATATACGCGTGGCCATGTGAGAGCATTTGGAGAGGGAGAGCGGACTCTCCCCACTCTCGGCCGTACCAGGGCATTTGGGGGCCAAGACATAATTCAATCTGAAGTATTAAAATTTACTCACCTTGTTACTTTAGCCACTTGTTTACGTATTCCATTGATAACAATCTCAGTAACAACATTGAACATAAACTGTGTTGAAAGTTGTGGTAAAGATGATGAAATTAATGAATTATTATATATAGATGGATTAATTAAATTATTTAATTCATTTGATATTTTATTTCGATAACTTATATCACGTACTGCTGTTGTAGATGATGTAATTGGAGTTGTCATAGGATTATTATTATTATTGATATTATTCGATAAAATATTCCTATTCATTGATGCTGGTAAGTGACTAGTTTGATTAGAATGTAAATTAGTTAGCCCAAGTGTTGTTGTTGTTGTTGATGATGATAATACAAGGGGGTTAATGGTGGATGTACTGATTAAACCTAAAGGATGACGATTATTCGATTGAGATACAACTTCAGGACGTGATAAACCACGTATATATACATTACATTGAGATAAATCTAATTGTTGTGTTGTTTCCGGTAAATGTTTTATACCGATGACATGTTGATTTGTAAGTAATTCTTCGTTGAAAGAAGTAGTAGTCCCAATATTAGTATAATGTCGATTAGATCGATTAGTTTGTTCATTGAGAATATTACCAAATCGATCTTTTTGACTACGACGCATTGATGAAATTGAAAGTTTGGATGAGTCCAGATTTCCGAAAAATTGTCCATCAGCTAAGAAAAAAAAAACAACCCGAAATAAAACATATTTTGATATAGATGTACTTTACTAGAATACAATTCCTATATACATTTCAAATATATATAATATATTGAGTGAAATGTAGTGTCCAGTACCATGGGACGCCAATATAACTTATTCTAACTTTTTGACAGACCAATTCATACATTCTTCTTCAGTAGTAGCATTTGTACCTTGTTAATTATTATTATTATTATTATTATTATTATTATTATTATTATTATTATTATTATTATTATTATTATTATATCAATCTTGGAAGCTTTAAGCGTATAGGTGCGCATTTATTATCTTACTCATCACATGCCTATAACTGATTTCAATCTAGGCAACACCCCAGATTTTGCAATCCCCAAAAATTACAGTGTTTCGTTGATCTTAGAAACTTCATGTGCCTTTACCTGTTATCTTTGGATATCTTAAACTATTTTTTTTCAATATTCTGTCATTCATTTTCCATCTTTAAAATATGGTTCTACTTCTGCCATTTGTAACCCATAATGAGCAGAAATTTCTTAAGCTATTTTGTATTTGGTGGTATGTTATATTATCAAGGTCTTTTGTATTATACTGTATCGTTGCGTTTTTCGAATACTATTATTGGCGCTTCTACACTAAGACTATTATTCCGTAATCCATTTCACATGCTTCATTTTTGGCTACTTTCGTCCACACTCTTGTCTCATTCTTCCATGTTCCTCACTTTTGATATGTAAAATATTCAATCATCCTGTCAGTTTAGGTATTGCACTTCTCTTGTTGACTCCTATTTTGTTGATTTACTCGACATAAATCAAATGATCTCCTATCGCAGACATTATTAATATACATTACCTCGTTTCTGCTCTCATGGTTAATTGTTCTTCTGTTTTCGGTATGATCACAAATCTATTTCTTTGTTTAGGCTGTGCTACCTCCATTCGTTGTCTCTTTATAATTAGTCACAGAGAGGGCCCATGAACGGTCCGTGATGCGAAATTTATTCTTTAAATTCGTCCTTATATGCTAGAGGCTCCCAAATTACGGACCTTCTTGCTTGTCAGTTGTGTTAACGTACGCTAACAAAGTTGGCGGTCACAACCAGTGAAACCAATACTGAAATAATAATTTAGGACGTCCAAAGATAACAGATAAAGGAATATGGAGTTTCTAAGATCAACGGAAAACTGTATTTTTTTGGGTTGCAAAATCTGAGATGTAGCCCAGTTTGAAATTAGATAAGCAGCAACGGTATATACAGAGAAAGATGTAGAAAGGATAATAGAATAATGGAGTCATAGTTACTCGTGCCCAGTGACAAAAAAAAACTCCACTTATATATGGTATGAGCAATATTTATAATTTTCATAGTTGTAGTGATAAATTTTAATTACCCGAGTTCAATCATATCGGGAGCAAGACACATAACGCCAACAGTAATGGATGCTGGTTGAATAATATAACTAGTTGACTATAGAATAGGAAGGTTTTGAGGAATTGTAGACTATTCATAGTCTAAATTACAGTGTGATGTTAACGATGTCACCTACTTGAAAACAGGACATTGGTTTAAAAATTAAATGTTTGTGTGTGAAATCAAACGTTTTTAGTTATTATACCTAGTGAGGATAGCGGATACATACTTCTGAGTCCCATAATAAAAACAAACAGGTACTTATTGTTTCCCGGTTTTATATATTCATTTCGATAAGATTGGTGACTTAAACGACGAAAATTCTACTATCTCAACAAGCACTCTTCTATTCATACTAATCATTTCCTCGAACATTTCTAGAGCAGAAGCCGTGGCTAATCAAGTTCAACTATGTTGAGTATAAGACAGTCATTCATTACAGTCAATAGAAGATAGTTATGGAATATTATGAATAAATTCTGTAATGTTAACACTTCAAAAGTTAATTGCCCACCGTGCTACCTGCAGCTCCAGGGTTCCATCCATCAGATAGATTATGGGTGAATGTTGCTGAAGAATCTCATGCTAGGATGAAACAACCGTTCAATCTTTTCTAGTTTTCAATGATTACCTAACTGAACTACATCCATGATGCAAAGTTACAAGCATTTAACAAACTCTCTTCATTAATAAGTCATCTATCTTACCAGTTGTTACGAATCACTCTCTCCCTATGAATCACACTCCATAATTACTTGAATAGTAACATACTATATATATCTATGTAAAACAAATAATTGATTTGTAAGTTAAACTACAATTGTTTCTTACCTTTTTTTGAGCAAATAATCAGACAAGGTTTCAAGCATGCACACGCATAAAAAAGTACATTAATCTAAGGTTACATATACATGTATAAACACACAATTCAAAATAGTAAACACTACCAGACATAGCATACTTTCTTCTAAAGTAAAGATTACAAAACAGATCTTTCTTATACTGATTAAATACAAGCTTTATAGTGAAAACAAAGATAGGTAAAGGTATTTATTCGCAATTATTATTATTTTTTTTTAATTTATAACTGTCTAATTACTGAATAATGACCAATCTCATGTACATGAAGTACTACTTAGTGTTGACTAAATTCTATCGATCAAGTTGCAATGTGACCAATACTAGTCTAAACAACTCGAGATCGTATGCACTGTGGTTAAAATGTATAGTGGTAATCTCGGAATAGTCGATAGACAACATTATAAGATTTAGGTTTCATGTTATTTTTTGCTTATCAGCAACACGTACTAGTAATATTAGAATTTGATTGATAGAATTCCATTAGCATTAGGAAAGACTTGATGTACATGACACTAGTCACTATTTATTTGAAGATCTGTCAAGGCCCCAGTAGATCCATTTTCACGGATCTGATTCCCGCGTGATGCGTTCCTATACTACAACGAAACCGTAAGCTAGTTCATTCGCGTTTTTAATGGTAGTTCATGATTTAAATGACATTCAACAAATCTCCACAACACCATATTGAGAATAGTTGAGATAGTTTTTTACTAGACGAACGAAACTGTACAATAGTCATATGTCTGTCTAGGAAGTATGGTTATATATAGGATAAAAGCTATTATAAAGTGAAAATTACTAGTACAAAATATTACGTCTTGAGATCCACGATCAGGTTACTTGGCCAATGAGACCACGGATACTAGTCTTGATTTCTTTCACCATCCGATCTTCCAACATGAGGTATTTTTATTGTGCAAGTTAGTTTAAGTGACGTGTCAATTAACCGTATACATCACTGAAAACACTTGGAAACTGTAATATTTCTTAATCAAATATTTACTTGTAAGACATATGGTTCACTTACTAGATTGACTACTAAATACATTCATTAAAGCATTTCCAAATAGACCAGTTTGTTGTTGATTTGTTCCTACATTTTGTGATAAACGTCGAATATCGCGTTTTGGAGACCTGCTTTATAATAAAAAGACGGGAACAGATGAAATAATATCATTACTATAAAACCGATTCTTAAACAATGATGTTTTTCATTTATTTTCTTACACTTTACTATGATAAATCGTTTTATTTTAATTTACGGTTGCGAAACGTGGCTATTAGGAGTAGAAAATATTCGTAAGCTACAAGTATTTGACCACAGATGCCTTAGAAATATTGTTGGTATCCGCTGGGATCACCGGGTAAGTAATAATGAGGTTAGACGCAGGGTATTAGGGAATAATGGTAAATCAGTTGATGAGGTTATGAATCTTCATCGACTGAGATGGTTGGGCCACGTGCTGCCACATGCCTGAACACCGATTACCACGACGCGCAATGCTAACCAGTGTTAGGGATAATTGGAAGAAAGTGAGGGGCGGCCAAACCAAAACGTGGAATCAGTGCTTGAAGTCACTAACTTCTAGTCTGAGCCATGTTGTTAGATGCAGACTACTTAATGACATGGCTCAGAATCGATCACAATGGCGTAGGTGTATACACACTCTGTCTTCCTTTAAACTAAGAGATTAAAATTGCTTCATATCTTTCCTTCTACGAACTAATAATAAATAATAATGCTTTGCCCCCAAATGCCCTGGTACGGCCGAGAGTGGGGAGAGTCTGCTCTCCCTCTCCAAATACTCTCACATGGCCACAAGTATATAGCCTCTGCCAGGAAGTCCTACTCACTGCCTTCGCGTGTCATTACTGTTGTTTACGAAAATGAGAGGACGAAAACCGATTGTCCAGCGCTTTAACCGGACCCCAAACCAATGGTGCACATGGACTAGCTCCAGTATCCTGAAGGAACAAATGGCGTATGAACCAATCGTTGGTCACCGGCTGGCTACCATGGGACTGCATCTCCTCACGATGCTCCACTGCCTTGTGGGTCAGACGTTTAGGTCGAAGGATCGGGGTGTGGCCCTCTAAGAAAACCCCGTGGTTTGGTTTGGGCACCCGGGCAGTATCACAGCCCTCACACAAATCAATTGAGATCTGTGTGGCGCATATGTACTTGGTGCCTCCCTGTACCTGTACTTTCTCCCTATATGCAATCTTTCTTGTATATATTACCACCACTGAATTAACTACTTCTATAAATCCGGTTTTCATCTTTCTGTGCTAGTGAGGTATGGCAAGTTGGACCGCTGCATATATGTGCCTGATCCCACACTGTAGCTGACTGACTGACAATGAACATTACAACTGAGATGCAAATATAACCAGCTAACGAGCTCCGAATAGGACAAAACATGTCCAGCATTCTAATGCGAACAAGGATTTACTTATTAAGATGGAAATCGTGGCAAAATGATCATTTCAAGAAAAACTGCAGAGTATCCACATATGTTGACGAAGACGGCTTAGAAGTCAGTCCTAAATATCAACAACAGCGTAATCCAGCTGAGATTATTTATCTGTTTTTTAATGTTCGATAAGTATGTTATATCTTTCACTTCTGTGTTTTAAGTGAAAAATAATGGGTTCGAGTAATAATCTGAGCACCAATAACATGGAAATGAAGGTACATCCAGATGATGAGTTCCGAATATAACGAAACAAGCGTTCTAGATTCCAGTGTTAGTCACAAACGTCTAATCTTTCATTTGCCCCCAAACGCCCTTGTACGACCGAGCGTGGAGAGTCAGATCACGGAACAACACATGTAAACATTATAATAATATTTGTACCTTATTACGGATATGAATATGAAAAAATTGTAAGCCTAGATCGAGGGAACTTTAAACAAACTAGTTAGTCAGTTATTAAAGAGTGCCTTTCAGGTCAATCTAAAATCAATAAATCTATCCACATACACAGAATTGATTAACCGATGAAGATCGGGTCAATGAATCATATGGTTTGAGGTCAATTTTTATCAACATAATAACACTCTACCATAATGGAAAGTAAGACTTAGAAGCTAATCAATCACTAATTGGGTCATTAAAGTAGAATTATTTCAGATGTGTTCATTGTTATTCAAAACCGAGTAATGATGATTTTGTACTGAATGACAATGAAAACATTACACAGTTCAAAGAATTTAATGCTGACAAACAATTGTGATTTTTAAGTCAAAATATGAAAAACACCAATTTTTCAAACAAAACTATCTTGAAAATAATTATTTATTATTTATATATTTGAACACATAAATATTGGTACAAGGGGGAACCAAATATGTATGCCCCAAATGCTCTGGTACGGTTGAGAGTGGGGAGGAACTGCCTTCCCTCTCCAAATGCTCTCACACGGCCACCCGTACACAGCCTCTGCAAGGGAAGTCCTACTCACTGCCTTCTCGTGGCATTACTGTTGTTTACGAAGTTCAGAGGACGAAAAGTGCTTTAACTGGGGCGGTGGACATGGTGAATCCACCTAGGGGAGTTGGAAAACCCTGATTTCAAACCAATGGTGCACATGGGCTGTCTGCAGTATCCTGAGGGAACAAATGGTGTATGAACCAACCGTTGGTCACCGGCTACCATGGGAACGCCTCTCCGCACGATGCCTCACTGCCTTGTAGGTCAGACCTTTAGGTCAAAGGCTTGGAGTGTGGCCCCCTAAAAAACCACATGGTTCGGTCTGGGCACCCGGGCACTATCACAGCCTACACAGAAATAAAATGAAATGATAATATTTACTAGAAATACTGAAAATTATTAACATTTCATTGAACATATTCCCTGAAGTTTCATTTTTGATATCCAATAGCATATAGGGTTGTGATGTGTGCATTATTGAGGAGTTACAAGCTCACAGTATTTATCAGTTTTCAACATCCCATTGGGTTTGGGTACTGCATTGCATATCAACTATCGGATGCAGGTATATCCGACTTAAAAATTCAAAATACAACGAAATATGAGTTCTGGATTCTATTGCTAACCACATTCCATCTACTCTATGCTAAGTTCTAATGTTTTTCCAGTAAAATCTTATTTAAACAATTCGTTAGCAACAAAACAAGGTAGTCAATGAATTTTCAAAGAATGTGTGAGTTTCAATGAATAACACGAGATTGAATTGATTAGTTTAAGATCTAAACATATAAGCATATAGTTAAACAAACCATTTGACCGAATAACAATTTACATTATGTTTTAACAAACCTCTACATGAAAACTAAGAGAATCGTTCAAAATAAAAAATTCGTTAAACGACAAAATACAGTAATGACATAAGTTACATGGATCATTTGTTGTTCAATTGGAAATTGTTAGTGAATATGACAACAAGATAGAAATTTCAATCATATGGTAGGTGGATAAATAGGTCAGTGATCGACAACGTCACAGTAAGTCGTATCAATCAAACAATCAGTGAGTAAGTTACAACGTAGAACCAGGCAAATAAATGCATCGATCCAAGTTGCCACACCGCATTAGCATAACAAGATGAACACCGGATTCATAGAAGTAGTTCATTAAATCAATGGTGGTAATATATACAAGAAAGATTGCATAAAGGAAGAAAGAATTAGTTCATAGATATGAAGCGGTTTTAATCTCTTAGTTTAAAGGAAGACAGAGTGTGTATACACCGATGCCATTGTGATCGATTCTGAGCTACGTCACCCAGACTCCAACCATTGGTTACAAGAATACAATGAAAAGTAGGGAAAATAAGAGGTCCCAGTCAATAAACATACATAAACAAATACAATTTTTAATGTTCAGGGTTTGGATTTAATTACTACCAATAGTAACCAATACTGTGATACAAAGTACGTGAAAAGTCAGTCATTCAGTCATAAAGAACATAAGACCTGAACTATATTCGCATTATTTCATGTTGATGCTACACTGTATCAGTAATATAAATATTAGAGTAGCAGAATTTGTAATAATATTAGTTGTAGTGGAAAACATTAGACCAACACAATGCTTAAGCTCCTGGTTTCGATATTATCTGGGGAAAATAGCAGAAGAGATTCAACCCTTGTAAACAGAGTAATCTTTAATGTTTGTTGTTAAATCATTCACCAGGTCACTTGATTATGTTCCAAACTACAAGTGGTGAGACTAATGATACCACCCGAGTTGTTTAAGCCCAAGACAGATGAGCGGGACTTTAACCAAGGACTTAGTGTATATACATTGAAAAAGGAATGAACGCCATTAACTTACACTCCAATTTTATTTAACGATGATACTGAAGTTGAAAAATGTGAAAAACCAAATAAATATTTTATATACTCCGGGCTTTCCAAATACATTGGTATAAATCGTAGTTCAACTGCCTTACAAACTGACTGATAGGTTCTGCAGACAAAAACAAATAGAGAAAAAAAGAGAAACACATGTAGATAACTACAGAAATGAGTAAACCATAAAGTGTAGAACAATCAAAGTACTGATCGAAGAAGAGTTAGTTCAGCCACACACACGTTTGTCAATTCAACAGATAGGCTGTGGTCGAAAGTGAAATCCAATGAAGATGAGATTTGTGTTATGAACGATGTGGACTCACATGCTGTTGTTGGGTATATAGGGGGAGTTGTCACTTCCCAGTTGTCCACACTGTGAAAGTATATTTGTTCTTCGGCGATCGGGAAAAGAAAGTGGAACTTAGCGAACTAGGAGCATAAATGCAGAATCCAATGGACAAGTACTTGTGGTCGGTCACACAATCTATTTATGCAAAGTTTTAGATGGGTTAGCTCCGTAGTTTAAAAGGCTTTACCGCCTAAGACAATGATACACAAGGTAGGGTGAGATGTGATATATGTAGGAAGTAATTTCTTAAAGATTCAATTCTAAAAAATTCTCTAGACTGTCGAGTACAGATTCATTACTTAGCCAACGTTAGAAAAAGTAAACTATTTGGCTTGATAAACATTAACTGTTTTTCTTAAACGTAAATTAACACTATTAGTATACAAGATAAACAATTAATACAGTCTATTAAACAGGCGAAAAAGAGGGACACAAATAACATACCCAACTAAAGAATAGGAAAAATAAATCAACAAACTCAATATTAGAGGGGTTTTATGGATGGTCGTTACATCCTAGTATAGGACACCTCAGCAGTGCGTATCCACGATCCCGTCCCGCGAGATTCATTTTTGATAAACATAAAAATTATGATTTCGATAGAACAATGAGGAGACAGAGTTGATCTGAGAAACGTGATGTATTTACTCTGTACATTTCAAACAATCTGTTCACACTTTTTATAGGAAAATTAATAAATGTCATAGGAGATCGTCTCATTATTCTAGGTCATAAACTGACTCAATAATTACTAGAGTACATTCAAGATTACAAAAAATTCCTTTTGTACACATAAAGGGGGTTTACATTAGGATTGGTGACTGCGTTTGTTTATCAATCACAATTTACAAATATATTAGGGTTGACTTTTTTTAACCCCTTTATTATGATTATGACATTATTATTTTTTATTATTTTAACACATAAGTATAGGTACAGGGAGGCACCAAATACATATGCACCACACAAATCTCAATTGATTTGTGTGAGGGCTGTGATACGGCCCGGGTGCCCAAACCAAACCACGTGGTTCTCCTAGGGGGTCACACCCCGATCCTTCGACCTGAACGTCTGACCCACAAGGCAGTGGAGCATCGTGAGGAGATGCAGTCCCATGGTAGCCAGCCGGTGACCAACGATTGGTTCATACGCCATTTGTTCCTTCAGGATACTGGAGCCCATGTGCACCATTGGTTTGGGGTCCGGTTAAAGCGCTGGACAATCGGTTTTCGTCCTCTCATTTTTTGTAAACAACACCCCCGCCACGTAAAGGCAGTGAGTATGACTTCCCTTGCAGAGGCTATATACGCATGGCCATGTGAGAGCATTTGGAGAGGGAGAGCGGACTCTCCTCACTCTCGGCCGTACCAGGGCATTTGGGGGCATGATTATGACAACGCTGAATTGATGCAAATGTTGGTTATCTGAGGAGAAAATGCCTTAATGCTGTTATACCGCTGTGCAGGCAGCAGTACAGCTTTGCACTCGGACTATGTGTATGGCAATTTTAGTTGTGTACGGTATGATATTTTCTAAACACATAAACATTGATACAAGATGGCACATAAATAATTCCATTTCTGTGAGGGCTGGAATACTCCCCGGGTGCTCAAACCGAACCATGCGGTTCTCTTAGGGGAGCACATCCGGAGCCTTTGACCTAGAGGTCTGACCGACAAGGCAGTGGAGCAACGATAGGAGATGCAGTCCCATGGTAGCCGGTCACCAGCAATAGGTTCATATGCAATTCGTTCCTTCAGGATACTGTAGCCCATGTGCACCATTGGTTTGAAATGAAGGCTTTCCAATTTACCCATATGGACTGTCCGGGTCCACCAACCCGGCTAAAGCACCGGACATTCGCTATTTGTTCTCTAAATTTCGTAAATAGTAATGCCACGATAAGGCAGTAAGTAGGACTTCCTTGGCAATGGTTGTATGTACGTAGTCATGTGAGAGCATTTGGAGAGGGAGAGCTGAATTTTTCCATTCTCAAACATACCTGGGAATTTGGGGGACGTAAAGAGACAAATGCAGCAGTCAACATAGCTCATTTAAATCATTACGGTATCCATTCACGATCAACACATCAAGGTATTAGCTATAGTAGGTTAGTGGAATCTAGGGTCTACAGTTCATTCTGTTTAAAACCCATTCACTGTATATACCTGGAAACCAGTGTAGATTTGCCATAATAGGACTTGAGCGCAATTCTATGCACTAGGAACACTAACACGTTTCACTACATTCTACTATCGTAAAAACGTAATCAATACTGTTTATAAAGAAAAAAAAAAGAATAAAAACTCACTCTTTCCATTGTGTTGTATTAACAAGTTGATTAATTGTCTCCGGTGTACAATATTTTAAACAAACTTTTAATAATTCTTCAAATTCATTAGATACATTGAAAAATTTTAAATGTCTACCATTTATTGTAGATTGATTATGTGTAATCATTTTAGATATTTGATAAATAGAATGATGATGCTGATGTTGAGGCTCCTGTTCCTGATGCTGCTGCTGCTGATGATGATGATGATGCAGATCAATGTCAACATTATCCATATTGTTATTATCATGAAACAGTTGACCATTTAATATACTTAATATATGATGTAATTGTGCACTAATTTCATGACAAGCATCTGATGATGGCATAGATTTGAAGACACGTGAATTAATTTGATCTATTTTGAATAGAAATAAAAGTTCAAATAAGGAAAAAATGAGAATAAACTTAATTCATTTACAAAATATGAGTAGAATAAAGAAATAATCTAGGAAGATTAATTACATAAGTGATACCAATTGACAAGCTTTCAGTTAGTCTGGGACAGCAATTTGCTCACTAGAATCGTTGACTATGGTGACACTTGAGGTGGAAGCCAGAAGAGGAAGTTTAGAGTTGAAAGTCCATGTAGGAGGAATAATAGGAAATGAAAAGGGAGGTTGATTATGAATACAGTGGTCTTGAGTGCTGTTAGAGGTATGAGGGCTGTTATCACTTTCCGGTTGCCCACACCGTCGAAGGGTTCTTCTGAGGGTACCCGAAAATGAAATTGGGTTAGGGGTGGGCTTAGTGACCACAGTGCCTAAGGGACAACTATTTGAGGTCGGTCACACACAACCTTTTTATGAGTAATTTTCGTGTTAGCTCCGTACTTGTTGAAACCTTGCCGCCGGAGACGGATATCCGTGGGATAAGGCGAGGTGTGCATTTTTAGGGTCGACCTATTCCAACCACACCACTCCTTGTGGAAAGGCAGCATCGCTCTTATGCTGGTTGTCCGAAGGAAACACCCTACTGCTGTCACACCTATGTACAGTTAGAAGTACGACTTCGTCCTCAGACCTTAGGTTTGTTGCTTTCAGTCTTATCCTGCTCCAACTGACCTGTCTGGCATGGTAGGACCTTGAGGAACGGTTGTTCCATCCAGCATAGCCTGGTTGCTTCATCACGATAGGCAAGCCCGAACACCACGTCAAGGTAGCAACAAAGGTCGGGATCGACAAGCTTTAGAATTACGTGTTAGCTAGCACTTTTTCCGACAATAGATCCTATATGCTGGTCGAGCTATAATATTATAAAGACTCAAAAGGAATATATTGGGTAGAGTACATGATCATTTAGATCCTACCATATCAGAAATGTCGGTTATAGAGTGGTAAGACCAAAAGTAGCGACATGAAATACGAGGATGATGTCATATTGTCGACTGTACTGGTGTCAGTAAGGTGTTCCCATCAGACATCAAAAATATCAGCAAGGTTAACACCCCACAACGTAAGCAGATTGTAGAATAATAACAATAATACATTTATTCACATGATACTTGGAAATGAGCACCAGTCTAAACTTTAGGGGAAATAACAGTAAATAGTTTCCCATATCGAAGAAGGTAAACACGGGTTCAAACGCGGAACTTATGTGTAAAAGGTTGAACATTTTAACCAAAAAACACTGTGGGTTGGGAAAGGTCAACCTTAAAATTGGTAAACTTCACCCTGTCCTAAGGATTTCCTTCACCAGTGATAAAATCTAAAAAGTACAGGGCTAACACAATAAAAAATATTCACAAAAAGATCGTATAACACCGGCCTAAACTGTATGATCACGCTCCCAGGTTGTTGATTTATTTATTTTAACACATATATATTGGTACAAAGAGGGACCAAATACATATGCGCCACACAAATCTCAATTGATTTGTGTAAGGGCTGTGATACGGCCCGGGTGCCCAAACCAAACCACGTGGTTTCCTTAGAGGGCCACACCCCGGTCCTTCGACCTGAACGTCTAACCCACAAGGCAGTGGGGCATCGTAAGGAGATGCAGTCCCATGGTAGCCAGCCGGTGACCAACGATTGGTTCATACGCCATTTGTTCCTTCAGGATACTGGAGCCCATGTGCACCATCGGTTTGGCATCCGGTTAAAGTGCCGAACATTCGCTTTTCGTCTTCTCATTTTCGTAAACAACAGTAATGCCACGTTAAGGCAGCGAGTAGGACTTCCCTGGCAGAGGCTATATACGCGTGGCCATGTGAGAGCATTTAGAGAGGGAGAGCGGACTCTCCCCACTCTCGGCCGTACCAGGGCATTTGGGGGCTAGGTTGTTGATACCACTTCTGATTTAGTTTTCGTTTTGGGTTTCTCAATTAGGGGAGTAACCTTCCAAGATATGGACAATAAAGAGGTGACAACTTTTGTATCCAAAAAAAAAGTTTAAATTATGGGTAACTTCCTAGAACTATTTATAGACTGTTATTACATATATATTCCTATTGTATAACTGTTAAGTAACTATCATAAGTTTTCAATTGACCTATTGGTTATTATTATGCAATTTACTATTCCTAAGTTATTTCCAATTTAGTAGTTAAAGTCTCCCGCAATCATAGACACGTTTGGCTTGGTCTTGTATAATTATGGTGTGATGCGATCTGACCTGTTTATATGTCTGAAATATACGATTCATACAGTGGATGCTGAGATTGCGTTCTGGACTCAATGAGCAGGGCTAGGCGAGGACCAATAAGGATTCAGAGTTGACCCAAGGTTGTTAGTTTTGATTGACCTGTCATTGGTTTAGCACGAGAACAAGGTGATATAATTCTGTATACTGACTGTCAATTTTGTCTCGTAATAATTGGCAGAAGTAAAAGCGATAACAACAAGCGCCAATACACCTCTATAAATTTTAATGTACTCAACCGCGTTTTCAGTAGTTTCTTAATAAAACATGATAACAATTACCTTCCAGTAAAATTTCTCGAAGTAATTTACACAATAAATAGATTATAATCAAAGATGGATAGTGACTAACAGTAGAATTCACACCAAGTGTTTCGTCCTATTTGGGACTTGTCAGCTGGATGTAAATGTATCTCAGAGTTGATTTTCACTCTGGGAAGGATTCGACCCCTATATTGTTCGCTTCAAATGCTATCACACATTGTTAGCATATGTTTATCCTGTGAGGAATGCCTCGATATTGCCTTAAGTCATAAGCTTTATAAACAAAGATGGATAGTGGTTATAATACATTGATAAAGAAGAAATAAAGTATAATTACTTACACATTAACAATAAAATTGTTAAAGGTTCAATAGATTTAACAGATTTCATATATTGCATAAATGGATAAAGTTCATCTTGTTGATTTAATAACTTCTCAATATGTAGAACTGTTGATTGCTATAAATAAAATAAGAAATGACATCACTGTTCATCACATTCAAAAAAAAAGAAACAATATAACTTGATGTAATAAATACAATGCTTCGAACTATACTGTTTGTATAAGGGCAGAAAAACCTCAGTGTAAAGGATAGGCGTAATGCTTTAACTAGCTTACATTGAAGTGAATGGAAATAGACTGAAGTAACAAACACATTATACTTTGTCATAATTCAATTTGGACAATATTGATATAATATTAGTTAATATTTAATAATGTAATTAGTAATAGAACCAACAATATATGTTATATCTCTTTATATAAGACTCTTCAGTAAGATATACCTAGATCAAACTATGAATGATCATAGTAATACTCGAAATCAGTACACTCTAAATTCACTTGGTGTTGTTTTACTTGTAACTTCTCCTAATTATTTAAGACTTCAAATGATCAGTCTCTTGTTGGCATATGTGAATCCTATGCAGATTACCTCGATAAAGTCACTAGCTTTTTAAGCAAAGATGGATAGTGGCTAATGATGGAATCCATGATGCACGTTTCGTCTTATTTGGGACTCATCGTCTGGATGTTCCCTCATCCCAAAGTTCATGTTCACTCTGGGACTCGAACCCAATGTCATTCGCTTCAAATACCATTGAGTTATCCATTTAGCTACTGAGTCCCGGAGTGAACATCAACTCTGGGATGCAAGTACATCCAGCTGACCAGTCCCAAATAAGACGAAACGCACGTTCTAGATTCCACTGCTAGCCATTATCCATATTTTTCAGTACACTTTGCTTCAAAAGATAACATGTTACTCACTGAGCTACTAATTTCAGATAAACATTAATTGGTTCAAGGTGTTTGTATCATTAAAGCAATCCGCTAAGAATTCACATATAACAACAGAAATTGATCAATTATTACCGTTTTGAATACTAATAATTCAATATTACAATAACTCCTCCTCTCACTGACGAGAAAAAGAAAATAACAATAACCATAATAATAATAATAATAATAATAATAATAATAATAATAATAATAATATATACCTTTTTAGATAACCATCTCTCCCAGTCGTGAATATATGCTTCCAATAATGGAACATGTTTACAATCATGTTTTATTAATGATTCAATAGGCTAAAATAGATTAAGTATACATAGTCTCATGCTTAATAGTTATATATATGTATATGGAATTAAAAGTCAAAATGAAACTATACGGTAGCTAAATGATAAATGAGTTAGAAATATAGATATAGATATCCGAATGAGTAAAAGGATTGTTTTTTCCGACGTTTCGTCACCCAGTTCGCTCTCCCTCTCGAAATGCTCTCACATGGCCATGCGTATATAGCCCCTGCCAGGAAAGTCCTACTCACTGCATTCTCGCACCACGGGTGTTGTTCACGAAAATGAGAAGACGAAAAGCGAATGTCCAACGCTTTAACCGGACCCCAAATCAATGGTGCACATGGGCTCCAGTATCTTGAAGGAACAAATGGCGTATGAACCAATCGTTGGTCACCGGCTGGCTACCATGGGACTGCATCTCCTTACGATGCTCCACTGCCTTGTGGGTCAGACCTTCAGGTCGAAGGCTCGGGGTGTGGCTCCCTAAGAAAACCACCTGCTTCGGTTTGGGCACCCGAGCAGTATCACAGCCCTCACACAAATCAATTGAGATTTGTGTGGCGCATATGTATTTGGTGCCTCCCTGTACCTATACTTATGTGTTAAAATAAAATAAAAATAAAATTCGTCACCCAGTGTAAGCCACTTCTTCGGTGAATAAATAACTAAATCAAAATTAATTCAAGTTTAAATAGTATAAAAGGAACAAAACAAAAATATTATGTACGATCAATCAAAAAAATAGGTCTTAACAAGTTCATGCCATGTTATTTCGATCAAGGTGATTTATAAGCGACACTTATGCAAATTTTGGGTGTGTGTGTGTATGTGTATGTGTGAAGTCTATCCGGTTCTATGGGATTATTATGTAGTTTCTTTGTGTACCTAATATGTTCTTTGGCTCGAATCAAGATTTCGTGAGATAACTTTGCAATATAGAAGGCACCATATTCGACACACCTTAATTTGTAGACACAATTCTGTGTTGACATTAAAGGAAGTTCTTTTAAGCGAACTGAAGTATTTCGAAGTGGGCTCGTTGTTTTGTAATATACTTTAATTCTGTGTTGTTTTAAGATTCTTTGAAGTTTTTCTATTGTATCATGATGGTATGGTAAAACTGCAGTACCAATCCATTTGAATTAGTGTTTAGCAATGAAACATTTTGTTTTAATATACCTCTAATAATCTTCATAGGAAAATTATTCAATTTTAAGATGTTAACTATATGCTTTTGTTCTTTTTGTTTATCCTCTTCTGATGTGATAATCTTGTTAGCTCTTCTAAATAAATTTAAGGCAAGTGAGATCTTTGATCTGAATGGATGTGCTGAATTGAAGTTAATATAACGATTTGAGTGTGTAGTCTTTCGGCAGATCGATAAATTTAGATTTCTCTTCACTAAGAAATCTAAATATGGTAGCTCATCATGCTCATTTTCATTCTCGTTTGTTAATGAAAGAGTATTGAACCTTTTTGAAAAAGATCTTAGATGAATCTTTTTTATCACAACAAAGGTATCATCTACATGTTATTGGCAAAACTATTCGATTCTATGTATGGCATAAACAGGTTGGTTAAAATCAGGGACTCGGGGGATCCCATTGTTACACTGTTAGTTTGTTTGTATAATGTCCCGTATACGACTGACCATGTGAGAACATTCCGAGAGAGGATCGAACTATTCCCACCCTCGGCAGTACCACGGCATTCGGGGTTATATAACTAATCATTTCGATTTTTTTTTCAGTGTTGTTAATCAGATCGACTTTGTAATAGTCTTCATAGGCTAATTGTTGACAATTTGTGTTAAGAGTTGTTGATAATTCCTTTAAAAAAAGGAAATACTTCTACCGATCAACAATTGTATAAACTTTGGGAAACCAAACGATTATGCTTTCATTATCCTAACTGGATGTTTAACAAATTCGTCAAATTCCTTTTAACATATTCTCTAGAAGTTTATAGAATATCAAGATCATAGATAATCATAAAGATTGAGAGAAAAGCGAATATCCGGCGTTTTAACCAGGTTGGTGGACACGCAGAGTCCACATAGGGGAGTTCGGATCCAGTACCCTGAGGAAATAAATGACGTATGAACCAATTGTTGGTCACCAGCTACCATGCGACTGTATCTCTTGACGTTACACCACTGCTTTGTGGATTAGACTTTAAGTCAAAGGCTTGGGTTGCGGTTCCCTAAGAAAATCACCTGCTTGAGTTTGAACACCTGGGCAGTATCTCAGCCCTCATATAAATTGAATGATTTATGTGGCGCATATCTGTTTAGTGCCTTTTTGTACCAATGTTTATGTGTTTAAATAAATAAAATAAGAAAGAACCTATTCGTATTAGAATAGTCTCGATCGTCACGTTAAGTTATTGCCTAAATACTATTGACCTGTATAGAATTCAATATCAATAAACAATAAAACCATGTTATTATTTAGTAAAATATATCACGATAAACTTACTGTACACTCAGGAAAACATAGCAGAATCAAATAATTGACAAAATCCTTCAAACATCCATCCAATGATTTGAAGGTGTACAACAAGAGGGAGGGATAGAGACAGAGAGAGAGAGAGAGAGAAAGTATGGGGTTGGAAAAAAATCAACAACGTAAATGTTTGTTAACTATAAAACGTGCATTGAAACAATAAAAATGAAATGACCTTAGAAACGATCAACAAAATCATTGATTAATAAGGTTATGCATAATTCATGATGACAACCAAGATTATTTTATTCATACAAATAGAATATGGATTTTATATTCATTCTGACAAATCTTTCCTACTATCACTACATACTGCTATAATTCATACTAATCTAATATACTCACTGTGTTGATAGGATATGACAATATGAATTAGGTTCTAAGTTGTTTAATGATTAACTGACTAATGTTTATTCTGTGTATATATTTAACCTCGAACTCATTCAATAGCACACCTTTATTGAAACTTCTTTTTTTAAAAAAAAAAGGGATAGAAATTCCAACTGAGATAAGCTGTTCTGTGAGTTGAAGAATAAAATTAAACCCAGAATAAAAATAAATCAGAATAGAAAGTTGAAATAAAGTAATTAGTCTCTTTGATAAATTTCGATAATGTAATATAAGAAGATGAAGATTATCAGAACTATGTGATAATATATTAGTGTAATACATTCCGAACAATCTGACCACAAAGTACAAGGGGGTACCAGATACATATGCGCCACACAAATCTCAATAGGCCCCCAAATGCCCTAGTACGGTTGGGAGTGGAAAGAGTCAGCTCTCCCTCGCCAAATACTCTGGAGCGGCCACGTGCATACAGTCTCTGCCAGGGAAGTCCTACTTACTGCCTTCTCGTGGCATTACTGTTGTTTACGAAAATCATAGGACGAAGAGTGAATGTCCGACGCTTTAACAGGGTTGATGGAAATGGAGAGTCCACCTACGGAAGTTGGGAGACCCTGATCCCAAACCAATGGTGCATATGGGCTCCAGTATCTCGAAGGAACAAATGACGTATGAACCAATCGGTGGTCACCGGTTACAATGGGACTGCATCTCCATACGATGCTCCACTGCCTTGTGGATCAGATCTTTAGGTCGAAGGTTCCGGGTGTGGCCCCTAAGGAAACCATGTGGTTCGGTTTGGGCACCCGAGCAATATCACAGCCCTCACACATATCAAATGAGATCTGTGTGGTGCATATGTTTTTAGTGCCTCCTTGTACCAATATCTATGTGTTCAAATGAAAAAACAAATAAATAAGGATCATTGGAGTTCAACCAGGTCTGTTGGGAGATAATAACACATTGACGACAATGGTGGATGTGTCGCTCAATCCCTTCTGATAATAATAATCATCTGCTCACTAGTGACTGACTTCAAGAGATACTCCCAGAGTTCTAGTGAGAAGCCGTTACCAGTGGAGTTCAACCAGGTCTGTTGTGAGATATCAGCTCACTGAAGTCAATGGTGCACGGTGGCTCAACTTCGTGGATTGGTTGAAGTTAGACATTAACACCGTAGGATGCCGGCTCAGTGGTCTAGTTGGTTAGGCGCCTGGCACGAGACTGATAGGTCCTGGGTTCGAATCTCGCGAGGGGCGGGGTCGTGGATGCGCGCTGCTAAGGAGTCCCGTACTAGGACGAAACGGCAGTTCAGTGCTCTCAGGTTTTTCATGGTGATCTAGCTTTAATTGAGTCATGATCTCAACTATTAAAAAACATATTTTCTTTTAAAAACATTTATATTTAAGAACTAAAAAGTCAACTAGACTAGAAATGGTGGGTAAGAGAAGACAAGGATAATAAAGAAATGTGAAAACAATTTGAAACCTCATCACTTCTGGATAATAAACTGATATTACTAGGGTGTGTCTAAAGTGAGAACAAACAGAGGGGGGTTGAATTTTCGTATGGCTAGGTCTTCAATAAACATTAGTATACGCCTTTTTATACTTTTATACAATACCACAAACGCCGATCAATCTTATGACCTATTTCAATTATGTGTTTGACAATAGAGGATAATGAATATTTATCCACTACTCTTATTGGGTCATTCGATGAAAAAACTGAACTGCGACAACTACTTCTTAGTTTTACTCTGACAAAAAAGAACATAATTAGTTATCCCTTTTAACCGTGTTTTTTTCTCGTTAACTTGGTCAATATAAACAAGTATGAAGAGCAATTGATGTGTAAAGGAAAAATTGAATCATTACTTTAGTACATTTTAGAAGACTAGACAAATAGCAGACTTTCATTTTAGAAAAAAACGAATACATATACATATGATTAATGCAGAGAAAACTCCCAAAAGATGAATGAGGATACTTAGTGTACCAATATAACATTTTAGAGAGAAAAGTAAAGTTATTTATATTCTCATAATATGATCAATAAACCAGGCAAACGTTTGCATTAGTCAAACAGACACTAAACATTAACTGATAAGACTAATCAGACAGTTATGATTAACGTGGAACCTGAAACAAGGGTGTGTTAGCCTTAGTTATCATCCTTATATCAGCATAGTAAAACGAAATTTATAGGATTAATAAATGAGTTAAAATTATAGTAGTATTAATGATAGTTTATTCATTATTTTATTTATTTTAGCACATAGATACTGGTACAAGGAGGCACCAAATACATATGCGCCACACAAATCTCAATCGATATGTGTGAGGGCTGTGATACAACACGGGTGCCCAAACCAAACCACGTGGTTTTCTTAGGGGGCCACACACCGAGCCTTCGACCTGAAGATCAGATCCACAAGGTGGTGGAACATCGTAAGGAGATGCAGTTCTATGGTAGCCAGCCGGTAACCAACGATTGATTCATACGCTATTTGTTCCTTCAGGATACTGGAGCTAGCCCATGTGCACCATTGGTTTGGGATCCGGTTAAAGTGCCGGACATTCGCTTTTCGTCCTCTCATTTTCGTAAACAACAGTTATGCTACAAGAATGTAGTGAGTAGGACTTCCCTGGCAGAGGCTATATACTTGTGGCCATGTGAGAGTATTTCGAGAGGGAGAGCGGACTCTCCCCACTCTCGGCCGTACCAGGGCGTTTGGGGGCATTAATGATAGTGAAGTAAGATTAAGTATTAGATAACATGAAGTGACAGAATAGTATGAGAATGAGCTTAAAGTAATCACGACAACATTACAGTTAGTCTCCAGCCAATCAGAAAAGAGATTTCATAAATATATAGCTTATTAAAAAGAATCAAGCAATAATATTACACAGTGTAAATAGATTTTGCGTTAATCGATGAATCTGTGGTCTCTAAACAGATTACCCTATCAGTAATTTGGAAAAACAACGACACATAAAATCCCCTAAATGGATATAGATTGTCCGTACTTTCGAATTTTTAGAAGGAGCCAGACAGATTTTCAAGTCCTCACACTGTTCCTGGTTAGAGTTAGGGTATTCCTCGTGAATTGATATCAGTCATGATATAAAAGTACTCTATAGCCATATAGATGAATGAGTTTTACTCATTCATCAAGTTAATGGTTCATTCCACAATTAAGGTTTCAGGGTTATGATTTGGGGATATAATTAAACAGATGATACAATTTACATCATTTTTACTCTATGGTTTCCAAAAATAATTTTTAGCTATCACTTTAAAGAGTTTAAGCAGTATACAAAGGTGTTTCTACTACCTGTTATGCATGATATTTGAATTTCGTTCAAAAACCAGTCTTGTTCTCTATTCTGATTTGGTTGGCCTTAAACTATATTTTTACCGAATATAGTTCCAAAAAAGGGATGAATTACAGAAGAATAAAAAGTACCAACCAAAGTTAAGGCTTAGAAATTAGAATGTGTAAATGAATTTTTGCAACTATGACCGAATTTGAGCCACGCTACCGGAACAAAATGAGTGAAATATCTATTTTAACTTACAATTTGGTTGGGGTGAATGTAAATTTTCTTTGAAGGAATGAATGTATAATGACAAGGCACTTGGATTAATGTGTTTTCACATTCTTTTAACTGTAAGCTCTCATTTGGCGCATAAAGTACTGTTGCAAACCTTACTTAAGTTATTGTTAGCTTATTACAGACCTATTGCTTCTTTTTCACTTTTGGCGTAGTTACGTTCAGATTTTAATTTACGATTTCGATTGATGTGTGGGTCAGGAATTTACTCTATATTAATGTATAGATCGAGGCATATAAGAAAAACTGCACAACAGAGAACTAATTTGTTTGTCATGCTCTCTCTTATTAGACTAAATACTGAGGTCAGAGAGGAAAATCCGTCCTGACAAAAAGGTATTTACATTACCTTGGTCACAGCTTAACGTCAATCGTTGTTATCAGTTAAAACGTATGCCTGTTCAAAGTACAGGACATTAAGACAGAGATGAAATAATTATACTTGAGGTAGAGAATTACAGTCTAGATTCTGATTGGTAAATTTCATCGAGTAATATTAATGAAACCCAAACATAACAATACCAAGTACTAGTCTCATAGTGAACATCAACGACTGAATGTAAATATATCTAACTAACAAGTTCTAAATAAAACGAAACACCAGTGTTAAATGACAATAGTAGTTAAAACATTATTTATAGTTCATTAGTCCTTGACAGAATGTATGAATGACTGAGGTGTTTCTTACCTTACCAGGTAATCTTTTACTTTGTAAATACTATTAGAAAGAAGTCACATGAGTATACATATGAAAAAAACATTCAACTTACAGAATTAGCTAAAATGTCCATAGCAGGCAATAAAACACAAGTAGATAGTATTTCTATTAAAAAACTAGACAATGATCTGAAAATTAAAGGCAATATATTAATATTTCGAAATAACAACAGAACTGTTTAATTTGTAGTAAAAAAAAACACATCAACATATTAACTACATTAATAGAACGCACCGTTACTGGTTAGTTGATGAGTTGTCTGTGCATTTTCGTGTGTTACATGTCCCTATCCCCAACCTATTATAAGATTCACTGATTACTGACGTAAGAATAAGTTATGACAAAGTTAGAGGTGGTCAAACCAGGGGATATAGGATAATTCTACAATGTTTCTGACACTTGAAATGAATCAGATCCTAGAATAAAAACTTTTTCTCCATGGTCAAACATGCAATAATTGTTATCGATGGTTAGAGACTTTAGATGATATATTTTAACATTAAGCAGCAATGGCAGAAATACATTTACTCCTTTCATATCACTTCATTGATCTCTTCTGAATTATTTGCTACACATACCTAAGTCATTTCGAATTCGACATTTATTAATGTCGTCGTACTGTGTGAATATTAAATAACTAACCATGACTAGTTCCTACGTTAAGAATAATATCTAAAAAGTTTTGATATGGCTGAAGGTGGGAAGAGTTCGTTCTGTCTCTTGAAATAGTCGCGTATTATGACCTCTTTAAGGAAATTCCTGTTCGTTGCCCTGATGTGGTGAGAGTTTTACAAAAGTGAGGATGGAGAGCGGATGTGAGGCACTCAAACCGAGTTGGTATATACAAGGGCTGATGCCATATGAATTGTCCCAAGGATTTTTACATTGCTCATCATTTATTGACATTGGGACTGAGTGAAAAAAGGTGGATAGGTGTCTAGTTTATCACATCGTGGCGCAGCATGAAATATAGTTGCGTATGGCTGACATCTTTCAGTCCATAACAACTCCCCGGTTGGGGTCCTAAAGATTGTATACCTCAGTAGTTCGAGACTTCATTACATATGCCTTGGAATGGCAGTGTTGCTGTAGTTTTCCACAACTATCTTTACGCAAAAGAGAACTCTCCTAACCAAACGGAGATTTTTATCTGTATTTTAAATTGAACTGTATCTCTTGACATACAATATAATGGGTCATTTAACAACTGATTATACTACCCTACCCCTCTTGTTCTCTTCACAATGTCATCACTTTTCATTGTAGATTTTTTGCACCCTATTGTACCATAATTTGTCCATAAAATAAAAACACTTGAAACCCTATTACGACTGATACTGTTAGTACCTCTACTATTCTGGGATTTGACTTGGCATCTTCATCTTTCTGTGCTAATGGGGTATGGGAACTTGAATCGATGTACATTCTTACAATTTATACGTTTCGACCTACTGACTGGATGTAAATTAGCTGTTCATGTCAGCTAGTAACATGCATTCGCGAATCTGGTATAAATGTGCATCAGTTCCAACTCCATTCATCTCACGCTGACATAAAAAGAAAGAAGAAAGTTAACTCGAGCTGTTCTTGAATGATATCAGATTTACTCAAGTCTGTTAATGCTTTACATGAACATAGATGAAGTATGTGGATATTTTAAGGGAACTCTTAGAGAAAATTGGTTAATAATGACCGTTTACTTCTTAATAAAAGCTTTATGAAGAATAATCAGTGTTAAATACCTCTACTAGGTTCATTTTTATTTAACGCTAACTTATCATTGAAGAAGAGAAATGAACAACTATCATAGTTCTTTCATTGGGATTTTAAGTGAAATTTAAATTATCAAGAAAAAATTTCTATACTAACAGTATGAAATTGAATGGACGATATACATCCTGTTACTTACGGATTACAACCCAGTTCCATAAACTTCTGAAAAAATAACGCACTAGTTGAAGCACTCCGCGAAACAACAGGTGATTTACGACCACGTTCTGAACTACCATATACATGTCCAGGAGAGTTGTGCATAACTCGATTACGTCGAAGGCGATGACCGTGATCAACAGAAGGCTCTTTTGATTTATGCATTTCTGATGATGAAAGACTGGGCGGCATGCCGAGAACTGGTAATAACCGGTTGACCACTGCACGTAAATACATTACTTCAGCTTGTCTTGAATACAGAGCTGCATGTAATCGATCTCCAAAAGCACACAAAACAGCTTCTTCGGAACAGGATTTCAACGGACTTTAAAAGTATGAAAATTAATAAACATTTAAAGGTCGGATACCTTTTACGAAAATGATTTTCCTTTAACATGGTCCGGGTTTCATCGTGTATGTCACCAACACCGGTAGTATTTAACTTATCTATGGAGGAAATAAATAAAGGATGAGCAAACATTCAACAAAACGCGCCGTCATAACGTGGAGAAATGGAATACAATGGATCATTTCACGGTAGAACATATATACACAATTTTTTGCAACATACTAGAACAAATCTAGTCTAACGAGTAGTGAAGTGGTTAATTAGAAGTTGAACCATTCCATTTTTAAGTTTATAATGCGTCTGACTTACTACTTAGACACAGATAGATGACCTCACAGGTCAAAGTCTCGTGACTCAATATTTGATTACTATTTCTTAGATGTATGAAAGCCTGAATACAAATTTCGACAAGATCTGTCGTATTTTAGTTTTCGAGATTGATTGCCTGAGTATATCTGTACCATGACTTTCCCACCAAAAACATTGGCCTATATTATCTACAAATAAAAACTTTGGATGCATAATTAATGTTCATTAGGAATAGTTTCATTGTATTATTTAACAATTCTGTAAATGATCGTTGAGGTAGATGGTAAATATTTTTATTAGATCATTTGCCTGAATAGCCGATAAAAGTTTTAATGTATGAAAAATATTGCTAGTTGTTTAAAAAGGACTGATACATTTACATAGATTTCCCATCGTTTACAATGGCGGAAACTCAAAGATTATTAGTATTCAGTATTCCATGGGAAAAATTCATTTGTGTGAAAATTTCTTGGTTTAAATGAGTAAACTAAATTGAGTATATTAAATATATTACGGCTAGTCTGACATAAATACAAAGTGATTTCATTTTATTATTTCATACCGATTATTTATTTGGTCTATCAATGATTTATTTTGGACAGTTAATACATAAGTACGACTTTATAGAATGACGTCAACGCCTATTTAGTCTCAAGGAAGGAAAATGGTAACACAATGGTTACGAGTCGAACAAATTGAAAAATGGGAAAGGATTTGAAAAATAATTGACCGGAAAGAAATATTTAATTCAAATGAAAAGCCTCATACTTAATTACTGGAACTACTGACAAATAATTTTGTGAATGAGACTGAAACCTTGATAGTATAGTTGAAAGAATTTTTCCAAATGTTCATTAAAACACTAGGTTTAGTTCTAATCAATAATCTTAGGATACGGAATACGTCTCTAATAATCCCATGACAGTGAGTGGTTAACAAAACCTGATTGTTATTTGATTGAAGGACGCTAGTAACTTGACGATTGCCAACAATGCCAGACATCACACTCGAAATGATGTAAACAAAATGCCCTTACATTGATGAAAAATGTTTGGCAAATCAAATTCCATTAAAACACTTATCAGTGTTCAACCACCTTTTATTTACTTGAAATACAACAAAAATGTTAAATGTAAGTAACCGTTGTACTTAAGAAATCATCATTTTTATATTGTAAACACGTTATGGCAAACATTTATGCAGTACCATAATACCTTTATTAATATACAGGGATTAACTTTTTACTTGTCAATCTATAAAGCACTTTAACCTTAATTAACGATAATGTATACTGGATGTGAACAGACATGATTGAACTAGATAGTCAAATAAACTCGGCTTCAAGAAAAGTCCGAAAGCTAGGTAAACAAGATGCTAGTGGAAGTTTGTACACTTAAGATTTGTATCATTTTGAAGTGGAAGCACAAGTTAAACACTAAAACTATACGAGTATTAAAGGAACATAGCTTACCAGAACAAGTAAGTGATAAAATATGTACAATATGGTCGAAGAAATGTGGTATAAACCGGTTAATAATAAACTCCGAGAGATCGATCTGCAGGGTGAAAAATTTTCTTACTAAAACATACATCTTTAACTCTTTGGACAATTACAGCACAAGCATATTGTAAAAACATTTTCAACTGCACCATAAAATCTGGGTTTGAAGTGAACGGCCTGAAGATTTAAGTGTCGGACGGTCATACATACCTGTACCAAAATTCGATGTATTCTTTAAGTAGTAAGTCAAATATCTAAACAATCAGAAGAATAAATTAAGATTACCGATTGTAGAGCTTCGTTCGATCTACTTCCAATAGTAACCTTTGTGTGATCGAAGTAAGCATCTGTTGGTCTACGAGAAAAAAATAGAGAAATTACAAGTAACCCACTCATGCACATGCTTTTTCGGCCTTAAATACTCTTTGCTGAAGATAAGCATTTTTACAGTAGGCTTTCTTTCAATCACCATACACTTGCTACACATGTGAATTAAATCGTCTTACCTCAAAATCATGCAGAAGATGTAGCCCATGAGCGTGAATGACAATGTTATCCAAATAAACACTATCATAACTTAAGAAACTCCCATGACAATGTAGAATATATCTAAATCAAACAAGGCATTCCACTGTAATTTGAGGTCTATTCACTTTCATGTGTTTATGTAAGTGAGAGATAGACCTTTAAAGTACCTGGGTTCTGAATCTTCTAGGTCACTGATACTCCAGTTAATCCTGAAGACTACGTAAAACACAACGAAAAGTGTTGTGACAGTTATGAAGAATCCAGAGAACTATTAGTATTGATAACACTCATAGCCATCCCACGAAACTATATCTTTGTAGTCAACAGTAAATAGAAAGTATTTTCTGTTGTTGCATCAGACTGTTAACGCAAGTAGCGATGGACAGTCATACACATTCTAAAGCAACGTAATAATTCCAATTTCCCGCAGGATTCAGCAACTCATAACACATAACTGAAAATTACCATGTGCTCACCAGTAACTAGCTTAGAGAGGGAATTCTCAAAGTTATAATGAGAAGCCCTAGCTAGTGGAGTTCAACGGCGTTGAGTCTGAGGCAGTTACCCACCTAAGACAAGGAAAGTTGGCTGCGCAATTTCTTGAGCTGGTTGAAGTTAGACATTAACACCTTTGGACACCAGCTCAGTGACCTAGAGCTTGAGATTGCTCCTGATAAAGGATTTCCTGGGTCCGAATACCACGTGTAGAATCGTAAGCACACACTGGCGAGGAGTCCTATACTAGGACGAAACGGCCGTCCAGCGCATCCAAATTTTGGATGGTCTTACATTGGTCAGTCATGAGTTCGATGAAATGAGAAATCTACACAATTACGAACTGTAAATAAATAATCTGATGAGTTGGTAATTCAAAAAATGTGAGGATGTCGACGTTTAAGAATTGAATGGTACGAAGAGATTACAATGAGGAAAATAGGGAGAAGTTACTAGTATGTGATTATGATAACAGTCGTAAATAATCGAATATGTATCAGGTACACCGGGTTCAAACATGCAGTGGTAGTCCTTAGGTGAGTGGGTGAAGTCTCCTCTTAAAGTTATAGACTGACGAGGCGAACTCTTAGTGATAAAAAGTGAAAGAGTACCTAGGTGTTCACTTTGGTGTGCAATTTATCGGGTGTTGTTTCAAGAAGCGTTCATGGTGATGTTCTGACAGGATCCACATGCTGGGGAAAAATTGGGTTACATAATATGTCGTATTCCATTGGTAGATTATCGCTAGTTTTCTCATAGTTCAACGAGGATAACCCCAAGTGTTAGAGTCTTTTTGTGAGATTTATTGTTTGGCCCTATCATCATTTAGTTGCCCGTCTCTATACTTGGTCTTGGAGATTTGCGCCTTTTTTGAAAGGGTAGGGCAAGATTACGTTGTAGACTTCAAGATACCGCCATGTGTACGTTGCAAAGTGAGCTAAGAAGAATTCTGAAGTGACTGCTTTAAGTTGACTTCGCATAAAGTGGATAGCAGAGTTTTCCCTGGTTGTATCTTCATGTATTTTGAGCCGGTATCCAAACTCACTGTGGTTACACTATTTTTAAATCATGCTTTAGGGATGCTATCGGTGAAACAATTACATGAACGGAGTGAATCCTTTGTGTCGCGTGAAGCACAATGTTCGGCAGGTCACGTTTCAACATGTTGTCTACTGCCCATTCCTCTGATATTGTGAGGCCACTTTTAAACTCAAGTGAACACATTCCGCAATTTATGTCATTTGTATGCATCATAGCCATCAAGCCCATTTTATCTATAAGGTCATCAACGAAGATCAAGAGGAGGCGTAGACATAAGATACTCCCCTATGAAACGCCTGTTGCTGAGGCTTTGTAATTCACATACCCCCTTATTTACTCTAACTTTTTGGGTGCTTTCAGAGCCAAGGTAGAAGAGGGTCAATTAAACCTATGTGCACTACCTTAGCTTTGAGGAGGTCGTGCATCATTTTGTAGAGGGCTTCTGAGAAGCCAAGAAATATTACAAGGACTGGTAACATTTGTTCTCAACATGTCGCACAGCTGTACAACACCGTGAGGAAGTTGGACCCTTGAAATCTGTCTTTCCTAACTCTGTGCTTAAGTTCGTGCAGAACGTTGTTTTTTTCCATATATTCCCCTGTTTGGTCATCTACCAACCCTTTCATTACCTTGACAGTATTGGCAGTGATGCCACTGGTCTGCAATAGCTTCTTTTGAAGATTGGGGAGTGAGAAGCCTGTGTTCATTCTCTTGAAAGTTCCTGCGACTCTACCAAGTGCCTAAGCAGGTCACGTGCAGTGTACCGGTGGTTTGTGCACACTGTGTTAAGATTATTGGACGGATTTTATCACATCCTGGTGACTTTTTTGGCGTGGAGATATTAGGTTTTTGATACTAACACAATAATCAATTTTTGTTCAAATTTACTTCCGCTTTAATTCAATGTGATTATTGCTCAATGTAGTATGATATTTTGTTCTGCATAACATGCAATATTCTTATATTAAATTAACATGATCTATGCTCAGAATGACATGCAGCATGTGAATTGATACAACTGAATGTATTCTTCATATATGTGATTTCAATCCAAATATTAATCAAAATGGGTACACAAATCAATATATAAATGAGCGTATTTTCGACTAGGGATTATTGTAGTCATGTTTTGGGTTCACTAACACAGCCTATGAGCCGAACCTGGAGTTCAATACAGAATACATATCAATCGATTGCTAAGTTCTCTACACTTACATAAGTTATTTTCTTTTCATTATGATTTCAGGTTATTAAGACACTTGTTCTGTTCTACGTCACGGCTCTCCTGCACATAAATACACATCGATGTAACTGTTTCATGCATACAAATTGTGTCCTGTTCTTTGTCACATGATTTTCATTAAGTATTGAAAACCTATCAAGACATCTGTAACTAAGGTTCGCTAAACAGTTATTTATGATATTTCTCCTTGAAAATGAGGCTTTTTCCATCTGATAAAATGATAAGAAGTAAAATGAATTATTTTTATTCTGCGAACCATGTTGTTGCTAATATAAAAAACATCTCAATATGTAAAAATTTTTATCCCTGACATATCATGATTGAATGGAGGTCACTTCTTCGGGGAAAATAAATAACTTAATTTAACACAAGTTCAAGTAGCACAAGGGAAACAATGCAAAATATTTTTGGTACAGTCAAAATCATAGCGGATATGAGTATGTAATTATCAAGTTATTTTACCAAAGTGAATCTGTTTGACATACCGCTACATTGATCTTTTGATTAGAAGTCAGGTATAAAAAGTGTAGAATGTTTGTATTCGTAATATGAGGTGGTAAGGTCGAAATCGGATGCATATGCGTGCAGAACGTATGCAGGAACTGCGATCGAAAACAAACGGTATTCAAAGCATAGTGTTGTATGCCCGAAGACAGGGATCCGTGTAACTGCATACAATTCGCTGTTTCAAAGAGACTCTGTTTTCTAAAGTCTTCAGATTTACTTGTCTCACTAGTTCATCTTCATTTGATATCGATCTACACTAGGCCAAAGGCTACTTAAATCTATTTTAGAAATCAAGAGATATCGCAATGATGGCACTTCCTCTTATACTTCTTTCTGTGTCTACTTGTATCTACGTTGTGACAAAGAAATATATTCCTTGGACCTCTGTCTCCAGAATATTGTGCTATATGGTTTGCCACCGCCAGATGCACAACTCTCAATTGTTGACAAGTTAAAACCCAACCAAAGCGTTTCTGGAAAATCTCAACTCTAAAGCGGTGGATCCAGAATCATCTACCCTAAACGATAAGAACGGGTGGTTACCGCTCACTACTATGACCGACGGTAAGCGTGACGACGGAAATACCAATATTCTATTTGAACGCAGACTTAAATTCATCCAATTAGGCAAGACTATGCTCTTCAGTGTAGCGTACAGAGCGCTTTTGAAAGACTCGTATTAAATCATACCACAACGCAGACTCTGTGATCAATTTTAAATGTTCCAGATTGAGAAAGGTATAAGTGATATCGAAAGTACGAATTACTTCAAACGGTACAGTCTGTGCCGTAAAGTCAAGGATTTTTCTAACACAAATTCATATGCTAAACAATCAAAGTGATGGTTAATTAACAACAGTTCAATACCTCAGAATCAGTGAAAATAATCCCAAATAAACCCACTAAGCGGAGATTTTCGTCACCATATTGTTGACCGATTTTTCGTTCAGTTAGTGCTGTTTTACTTTTTATTCTATCTTTCAGAGACATATCAGGTGTTACTTGAATGTCAGTATTGTCGTGACAACGAGTGTTGGTTAACAGATCACGTTGCTTCTCCTACTTTATGATTACCTCGATATGGTCTGTGTTCAACACTGTCGTCAGTCTCCTTACGCACACGAAACGGATCGTTTCCGTCTTCTAGACTGTGCATCCTGAGCGCTATATCCAAACCAAGATTCCCGCGCGATCTCTTCACAACCTCAGAAAACATATATCCATTAGGTGCTCCCATTGTTCCAACTGCTGTTTTGTTAGGGGTTCTTCATACTCGACCAGTGGTTTCTTAATTGTATTAGCTCGAACAGTGTTCATAGATACAATGTCATCCCATAGAAAATATTTCCAAATTTATTTTCAAACATATATGAACAGCTTTTGCCGCAATGCTGCTTACTCTCTCTTTCTCTTCCTTCTGGTGGTCGACTGGATTATGAAGACCTCTACATCTAGGGAGAAGCACGGAATACAGTAGATAGCTTGGATGATTCGGACCCTTAACATGACCCAGTTCTTCTATCTCATATACAGCAACAAATGCACGTTAAGACATCCGATGCAGCAGAAGCCTGTGCATTGGTAGGCCCTAAAATTCACAAATGAAAGAAAAAGACCCTGAAATACAACGCTGAGAAATCCAACCCAATGACGCTTGATGGGGGAAATCTGGATGGACTAGAAATTTTCACATATCTAAGTAGCATCATCGATGAACCTGGAGGATGTGACTCAGACGTAAATGCAAGGATTGTCAAAGC